GGCTGCACTCAAGCTCCTCCCAGCTCTTCACGTCGGTCAAGCTGGTGAACCCGTGACTCCGACTACCTGCTTTCAACTTTTGATGTAGAATGCTACATAGAGCGAGCTTGTTCCTTCAGAACAAGTCAATGGTGCTAGTCGAAACGAAGTTAGATTACCTGTTCCGCCAGCGATTCACCAATGACCATTGAAGGAACAAGAACAGATTTGCAGCGAAGACGAAGAACCCAACAGTTCGTGTTGATACCCCAAGATATTTCCTCATCATACTGTCGTGACATTCGCTCTGAGGTTGCTCGTTCACTTCGATTGAGACTTCCGTTCACTCCAAGTCGCACAACCTTCTCTCGTCCCTTACCGCAACGAGCACAAGGACTGTGCCGGGAGAGGAGAGCCAAGATGGATGTCTCAGTGTTGAACCATGCTCTCACTCTCCATGTTCACCGTCATGCTCGCACTTCTCCCCCTCTGCGCTTTCACCATCGCCCCCCTGGCCATCCCGATGCCGTCATTCTTTTACTGATTGAGAACCTTGTGAATGGTCACCCACCCCTCAATTAGACAACCAACAGACGTGTGACCCCGTACTCAATAACTTTGACAAAAGTACCCTGATATGTTGTTGAAAAGGAATGCACAGAGGGAGGAGGGAGGAGGGAGGAGGGAGGAGGGAGGAGGAGGGGAGAGAAGAAAGGTTGACCCCCTTGCAGTTCTCCGGCGGCCATCCAGAAATTCTTGGCCCTTCCTGCCTTTGCTTACTTTCAATAAACTTCTCCTCCTCTCTTTCACCCTTAGCAACAACCCACACACTCTCCTTCATCTTTCTCTTCTTCATCCTGAGATCCCCTCAGCTCCTGTGCCTTCGGGTTGACATGAACGAGAGATCATGATTGACTTTATTAACGAAAAAGATTGCTGGAGTGAATAGAAAATTGATGGGTATTGGTGGTGGTGATGATCATTGCGATGGTGATGGTGATGATTGAGATGAGGATGATGATAATTGAGATGATGACGCGGATGATCGGTAGGAGAAATTTCAGCAGGAGAAATGCAACGAGAAGGAAGATGGAGAGCATAAGAGGACGCAATTAAGCAGATGATAGTTTACACTAGGAGGGATCGGAGAGAACGCTCCTGCTCATACTCCGAAAGCCCTCAGAGTGGCTGGAGCTGAAGATGTCGGAGAGAAACAAAGACGTCTGCAGGAGTTGATTACGCGGAGGAGAGGTAAAACAGCAAGCATGCCATGCTTCTCCTCTCCCCTCCCTTCCCACTGTTTCTTCCTCCCTTCTCACCTGAGCCCCGTGCTCCCTCGCCCTCTCCTCCTCCAGCCTGCGCCTCCTCTTTGTTTCTTCAGCGAGTTTCTTCTTCAGATCTTCACAGGTCACAACCAAGCTCAAGATCTGCCGGCATAGTCCCTCCGAGTCTCCTCCTCCCTCCTGCTCCATTCTCAGCCCACCAACCTCCCCTTTCTTCCCCTTCACCTTCCGGGCGACTGCAGGAGAAACATGTGAGGTCTCAACGTCCCTCCTTCTCTCCGCAGCTGATCTCGCAGATGTCTGCTGCTTTTCCAGCTGCTGCTTCTCCCTCCTCCACGTTTCAGCCTGCCACACTCAGCTCAGCCCCACAGCCACAGCAAGGATGCTTGACCCGTTTGACGGCGGCCTCCAGGAGGGGTTCAACGCGATCAAGCTTGTCAAGAGCCTTGCCCGCCATTTTTCGGCATTCCTCCGCTTCCAGCTGGTAGCCAGCTGAGCGTTGTCGCAGGTCCTTGAGGTCTCGCAAGGCGTTCTCATGGTCCTCCATCATCCGCCATTGCGCCTCCTGCTGAGCTGCTAGCGTCTTCTCCTGCACCTAGAGTAAGCATGCAAGACGTGGAGGGCAGCAGGTCGGCGAGGAGGAGGGGAGAGGGAGGGAGCGAGAAGGAAGGAAGGGAAAAGGGGAAAGGGGGGAAAGAGGGAAGAAAGGAGGAAGGGAGGGAAGGAGATTTTGACCTTTTCAGTGTATGCCTTCAGGACGGCATTATGCTCCGATCGAAGTCGACGGATCTCATTGCACAAATCATCTACACATGGAAGTGTCATCACAAGATCTTGTTCTCCTGCCATGTGAAGCTCACCGAACTCCTCCATGACCTGTTGCACAGTTGAAGGGCTTCGATGACTTGTTCTGACGTCGAGGCTGTTCTCTTGAATGACATCTCGCATTTTTGTCTTGAGGATCCCAAGTTCTATCTCTGAGCACTTTGCAATCTCCTCCTTCTCCCTTGCTGCCTCCTCCAACGCTCTCTTCAAGGCCTCGATCTCTTCCTTCAACGAGTCTTGCACCGTTCTCAGCGTCGCCTCCTCAACCTCCAACTCCACCTCCACCTCCTTCTCCTCTTCCTCCTCATCTTCATAGATCGACTTCAGCAAGGAGCTCTGCAAACGACTCTCCTCAAACTCTCCCAAGGCGATTCCCATTGCTCTCGCGGTGACAGCAGCTCTCTCCTTCTCGCTCTTGTGGTCAAGGTGCAGCTTTCATTTTGCATTGGTGGTGGAGTGAACAAAAGATGTCAGATGCAAGGAAACACAGACATTAACAGTTTACAGACCTTCATCCATGACGAGCTCATACTTCGCAGCTCTCTCTTCATCTCGCTCATCCACACGTCGACCTGGCTGATGGTGCCATACCACACCTGCAGAATAAACCGCAGCGCTTCATCCTCCATGGCGAAAAAGGACGAGATCATGCCTCTAACGTCTTGAATCATCACCCTGCAATCTTCGTACTCATCGAATGCCATCTCCAATGCTGCGAGGACACGCTGGATCCTGTTCTCTGCGTTCTTGTCTCGTTTGCACATCCTCTTGAAATGGAGATCCTCTAGTTTTCCCTCGAGAGCCAGCGAAGGGAGATCGTCCTCATCGCAGTCAAGATCACAAGACACAACTTGCTGGCGATGGAGGGAATGGCTCAGCATCTGCATCCTCTCAAGGTGTGACCTTTGGATCTGCCGCTGCGAAGACGACATTACGCTCTCCTCCAGTTGCACTTTCGATGTAGCAGAGGTGTGGTCAGGGGCGGAGGACAGAGTCATCGCAGGAGGAAAGAGAGGGCTCTCTCTCTTGCTCCTTCCTCTGAACGTAGTGAGAACTTCTGCAAACCTTCTCCTGACGCTTCGAGCCATGGCTTCGCATTTTTCTTCGCACGCCCCGAACGCATCGCCCACCATCGGTCACTACCAAAATCTGCAAGGCGGGTGAAATCGTAAGGGAGGGGTACATATTACTAGAGAAAAGTCTGAGCAAGGAGGGGTGGTGCTTTGAAAGATAAAAAGATTGACGATTTGAAAGCCGCACTCTAGAGCTACTACTACTACAAAACTTCTTTACTCAAAGTTAAGTTAAAATTCAGTACTGTACGAGGACAATCAGGAGAGTCGAGGAGGCTTGACCCTGACACTGTCCGATCGCACCGTACTGGCCACACGGCGAGCCTCAGAGAAGAGCCGCAAGCCTTGAAGAAAGACGGACAGCTCGGAGAACCAAACCTAATCCTGCCAACTGCTGTCCCCCAAAGCGGCTGCATTCAACTGCGGCGCGCAGGACGGACAATTCACGGGAGTCCCGTTGACTCCGCCGACTGTGACTCGCGGCCGGATGCGAGCCGGCCCGGGGCCTGCCGCCGCCGCCGCCGCCCCGGGCCCCGGCGGCAGTTCCCGAGAGTCCCGCCGAGGAGTCCGATACGACGGCCGGGCGCCGGATCCGATCGGACGGCCGCAGTCCGATCAGGCTATTTCAAGTTTGATCCGATGATGATCGCCGCCATCGGCCGCATCCGATCGGATCGGACAGTGACCGTACAAGTGGGAGGGGCCGGGGCAAATGTCACGGACTGAGGGATCATGATCAGTTTCAGCGGCCCGCCGGGTGGCACGGGCCAGCCATGCGTGTCAGTGAAGTAACCTGACTCCTTCAAGGTTAAAGTAGCGTGACGCGTCAGCACCTCATTGAAGTCACGAGGAAATTTAATCGTACCCCCCAATATCACCTATCATAGACCCGTGGGCCGGAGACAACGAACGCCTTCTTGAATCTCCGTGATTTCTGACCAGTACCACCCTACCTCCTGAAAATCTGAATTATCACCCCTAGAATAGAACGTTCGTTAGAGGCTTGTAGTAAAGATCACGGGGAAGTAGTAAGCCCCTGGTAGTTGAGATAAGGGTGCCAAGCAGGAAATCGGAGGTAGCTGCCGAACATGGAAGTTCTAGATGGAGGCGACGTGAACGGGTCGGGACAGGCTGGGGATGACATGATGCAGATACAAGTCAACGAGATAGATGAGGAGATGCTTGCCTACATGGTCAAGCAGGTCGTAGTGGAGCAGACCAAACATCACAGGAAGTATGAGATTTTCTTCTTGTGGGTGTTCATGTGTTGTTGCTTCGTCACGATCGCTATCCTCCGGAAGCAAAGGCAAGAGCGCAGACTTACACAACGATGTCGTTCCCACCAGTTGGAAATCGACGAGGATGATCGTCAGGAAGAGGCACACGAAAGTCTTACGAGCTTGAAGAGACAGTGCAGTCCAAGGTGCAAGAAAGACAATTGTGATCCCACAAGAGAGTACTGTCCTGCGTTTCACAAGCAGCAGGATGACTTTCAAGTGTTGCATTATCTGTCTTCGCTATCTGGCAAGTTGCAGCAGATGATGGATGAAAGTTACAATCACGACTATCGAAAGAAAGAGTTGAAGCCAAAACCACGATTGAACTCTACTACATCCCCCCGGCAAAAGACGGCAATCGCAAAACAACGAACCCCAGTCTCTGGCAGTTGTGTTCGTTGGTTGACAACATCTTTCTGATTTTGCTTCGTCATCGCCGACGTGCTTGTATTTCTAGTTTCTTATCCAAGGCTCGCTGTCGACGCTGTTGCCATGATCGCCTACCACCTTATCATCGCAGATTGCAGCTGTAGCATCATTGTAAAGACCATTGACCTGTACTAGTGTCGATTAAACCCTTTCTGCTCCACTTGTTGTCTCCGAGTGTAAATCGGCTAATGGGATGATGGGAAGGAATTCGTAGCCCGACTCTCCTCTCTTGTTCTCCCATCATGTGCCCCTTTTCACCTCTTTGTCCTCCCATTCGCTTTTCAACATCAGTCCGGCCAACTCTTACTCCCATAAACCGAAAACACGAACATGGTTGGGGGGAAAACGTTCCATGAGAGGAGGGAAGGAAAAGAGAAGAATGCCTTGGTGTACAAGAGCTTCTACCACATTACCCATGCTCTTTGCGATGACCTCATGGAAAAACAAATTTCACGAGATTTGACCAACTACCGACTGTCCCTGCTGCTGATTGTGCGCGGGCTGCGGACGTTGTGATGAGGTACACGAATGACATCGTCTATCATGATGAAGATTGTTTAATGCTTTGCTCCTCAAAATATCAATTTCCTCTCTCCTGCCCTTCTCTCTTCTCGGAATCCTCATTTGCTGCCTACTCGTTTGCTTTCCATGCCTTCGATTTTGTTCACCAAATGCTCTACATTCTTACCTCACATTCATTTATCCTGCATCAGTTTAAGATTTTCCAGGCTTTTCATCAGTTTTACACGATGATCACTTGTGGTTTCCATACCATCCTATGGCTGACCTACTTTTTTCCTCGATTTTCTCTGCTGCCTCGCCATCCCGTCATCACAGTCCCACTCCCTCTTATTCCATCTTCGTCCTTCCCAGTGCGTATCTTTAACTCTTCCTCTCTTCTCCTTCTCTTCCCCTCCTCCTCCTCCTCTCCTCTTCCTCTCTTCTCCTTCTCTTCTCCTTCTCTCCTCCTCTTCTCCCTCCCATTGCAGCTCTAGTTCGTCAACGGCTAACCCTCTACCCACCCACCCCCTATTGACCAAGCTTCTGAATCACCCTACCATACCTCCACCAGCAAAAAGTCTTCAAAGTACCCCTCATTTTTCCAAAACCACCCCCTTGATCACAACCTTCTGAACCTTTGAATCAACGCATGGCGAGCGAGGGAGGGCAAGATATGGCAAGGAGACGAAGGCGGGAAGAGAGCAGAAAGAGGATGGAAGTGTATGCAAGAGAAAGAGTATGTGTGAATGAAGCTGTGATCAATGGTGAGCGAGCTATAGAGACAGTTGCCGAGCTATAGAGACAGTTGCCGAGGTCTTCATGGGAGAATGACAACAAAATTTAGGCTGAAGTAAGCAAGCGAGGATTATAATCTATTAAGGAGCATCGATTGTCTCTGAGAGGAAATCTGAAAATGATGAGAATTCTAGAAGAGAAGAGGTAGAAAGGAAGAGGTATCAAACAGCCATTCATAGATTGCCTTGGTAAATCTCCATTGATGCAGGAGCCCTTTTACACGGCATCTTACCAGATTCATCTTTGTCTATAGGTGGGACTCCTTTAAACTTCCCTGGATCACATCAGAATGTCTGGCCTGTCCAGAGACATCTTGAAATGGATCCAGAGCTTGGACTTGTCATACTCGGTCAAGAATGTCAAGAGAGATTTCTCGAATGGTTTTCTTGTAGCCGAAATCTTCTCTCGATACTTCCCTCACGATGTTCCAATGCATTCTTACGACAATGGGATGAGCTTGCAGAAAAAGCTGGCGAACTGGGACCTTCTGCAGAAGTTCTTCATGAAGAAAGGAGTTCCGATCTCACGAGAAATGATCGATCAAGTGATACACTGCAAAGACAACGCATCCATTCCCCTCCTCGAGACGATCTACACCTGCCTGACAAGCAAGAAAGTGCAGAACGTGAAAGCGAAGAACGAGGACGAGCTGATCCCTCCGTTTGCTCGCGCGACTGCGAGCTCGGCGATCAAGGAGAGCATTAAGGACACAGAGCTGGTGACTACGTTGCAGGACGAGAACACGAGCAAGAACAGAACAGCTGAGCTGCTCAACGACCACAACAAGACTCTGAGAAACGAGCGCATCCTCGAGCCGGGGAGATTCACGACAACCTCCCCTAAGAAGAGTCAGCGCGTTCCCCCTCGCCCGATGCCGTCGGAGGTGCCGCAGGGGCAGATCGAGTTCAAGGAGGTGCAGGTCCGAACCATCGACAGGAACGTGACCCAGCTGAGGGCGAGCAGAGACGTCAACGGGACGATGAACCAGTCGAGCATAGGGGACTCGAAGATGTCGGAGGAGGCAGAGACGAAGGCGCTCTCGGTCAAGCCGATCACCAAGCAACTCAACGAGATCGTGAAGAAGTGTATGGGGGAGGGGGGCGTGAAGGGTGCCGAGGGCTCCAAGGACGCTATCGTCGTCTTTCTCGACATGCTCTTGTCCTCCAAGGACCCGAACATGGAGGCAGCTGCGTCGCTTGTCTTCGACACGATCATCAGCGAGTGCGATGAGCTTGTCAACGCCTTCCTTGCCTCCCCCAAGGAGTTCTGGAGGCTGTTTGCGCTGTTCAACAGCGTCTTCTTCTCTCCTGAGAACTCCCTCGCGTTCTCTCATGGCCTGCAGCTCTTCTGCGAGATCGGGCAGCGGATGACAGCACAGGATCCCTTCCTCGCCTGCGGTCTCTTCGGCGACTACGGCATCCCCAAGATCGTGCCTCTCCTCAAGACGAAGCCCTCGAAGCGCAGGAGCCTGTTGAGCATGATGTACTGCTTCTGCGAGACGTCGATGCACCTGAGGATGATCAAGGCCCTTCAGGACGGGCTGGAGGACATGACGTGCTTCCTGCAGTGCGTCGTTGTCCTGATGCACCTTGAGACTTCCTTCACCGATGACCTCCTCGACCTCTACATCTACTACGCCATGACGGGCCTCGGGCAGCAGTCTGCCTCGCTCCGTGCTGCGGCTCTGTCGATGATCGTGATTGTGGTGGAGCAGCAGTATCCCCTGGTGATCCCGATGCTGGACAAGCTCGAGCTCTTGCGCGATGATGGATGGTGGGAGGTGTCAGCGCAGCTTGTCCGTGTGTGCGCTGCCATCCTGTCCATGTTGAGAAGCGGAGAGACAGAGGAGAATGGCGCCATCTGCGGACGAGTGTACAACCTGACGGAAAGTATCCTCTTCTCTTGCCGCTCTCCTCTAGTCAAGAAGATCGCCGTATCGAGCTTGGCTCCTGTGCTGGAAGAGCATGCTTCGCTCAAGGACATGTACAGAGATGTTCTCCTCTCGCTCAACGAACGAGATTTCTCCGCTGTCATGTCTACGCCCAAAGATCAGCAGCAGTACATGCTGGGCAGCTCTCTGCAGTACATGCAAGCAGCGTCTCCGTTGACGCTCCTACCTCCCCTCATGGTCGCGCAGACCCTTGCAATGAAGATCAAGGAGAGCGAGCTTGAGAATCTGGAGCCGGAGCATGTGTATATCCTCTTATCCGTTCTCGACGCTCCCTTCCACGAGGAGGAGCAGGACGCCTGGGCCAAGATCCTTGAGGTCTTCACCTTGTTTGACCCTCTCGCTCTTTCTTCTCATGGCCATCGTGGCAGGACCTGGAGCTGCACGTGTACGTCGCTCTAGCCGACGAGGAGCTCTGCACTGACATCGTCACTGTGATCCAGAAGTGGGTCACCTCCCTTGGACCTCGAGCCTCCAAGGTGAAGATCGACATGAATCTGTGCAAGGAGACGAGCTGACTTTCTCCTCTTCCTCCTCCTCCTCCTCCTCCTCCTCCTCCTCCTCCTCCTCCTGTTTATACTTCTCCTTCTCCTCACAGACTTTCACAACGTTGGGCAAGTCTCTCAAGCTCATCTTCACGCCCGAAGGCGAGTCAAGCAGTCCTGCTGCATGCCAAGATGCGGCGATGAACCTGCTGGGACTCCTCAGGCAGGAGGTACAAGCTCCTCCTTCACCCTCTGCTCCCTGGGCTGACACATGTGGCAGGAGTCTGTAAAGCAGGAGCTGGACACGGTTCTCAAATCGATCAAGTCAGACTTCCAGGGAACAAATCTTGAAGGCTATCTTGACCAGCTATAGATGTACAATCTCCTTGTTTATTTTTTTTTAATACAGGCTCCAGAATTGAAACTGGTCTCGCTAAAAGAAAGAATGTCATGCCAGTTTCTATCATGTCAGTTTCTCGCAGTTCAAGCAGATCTCTCTCTCGTGTTTTTCCTCGTAACTGCATGAAAGTGAGAAATGAGGCAAACGAGTGCAAATGGAGTACTTGATGGTAGAGCAGCTTGTACAAAATTCCTCTCTGCATTGAAAGCATGTTCTCCGGCAAGATACACAGACAGATCTCGAGCAGTATGAACACGGTAAAGTGTCGCACTTCTTTGAAGTCAAACACCCTTGACAGGTGATATTTTCAAGTGGGATCGGGGCAGCGTTCATCAAGATTTGAAATGCATTGACTGTGGAGGAATGATCAAAACAAGTCACTCAATCAACAACCAAGAATACAGGAAACTCACCAAGTTTATCAACCTCCTCGGAATCCATTGCTCCATCGAACTCGGCATCTTGCCTTTCTGACGCAGTTGTAGGGTCAAACTCTGTGCCAGTGTGAGTGCTTCACCTCTAGCCTTGATGTCCACAAACAACCTGTCAGAATGTAGTCGAGACGTTGTCTGACAACGCGATGAATGTTCCAGTCGAGGATTTGAGAGACGTCCGAGCTCCTCTTTCTTGATTCCTGTCCGACAAGTCAGGTTTTCGGATGCGAAAAATATGTACCCACAGGATGCAGACTGCAGGTCACAACGTCAGATGCGATCTCAGGCAATGATGGAAGGGTTCCAAATTTCGCGTTGTGTGTATTAGCCAACCAAGACTTCATCGTGAACTATCGTCCAATGGTTTTCTTTTCCGGCATGCAAGAATCGACGCAGCAAGTGATGAGAGGTCCTATTTACAGAGAAGAAGCAGAGGGGAAACTTCCACAGGAGGACCGAGATGTCGATCGATGATGATGTCAAAAAATAAGGTCGGGCTCACCAAAACTCTCCTCTCTTCCTCAAGGATCGCAACAAGTTTCTGTGGCAAAATATTGGGGGGGGTTCAGATAGTACAACCCCGGGGCCAAGAAAATGTAAAGACCTCTACAACGAGAACGATGGAGCTAGGATGGTTCTATACAAAGAAGAAAATTCTGCTCAAATGATAGGATTTCTCTTGAAACTGACCTCTGTAAGTATTCGCGCTAATTCCGCACAGAACTCAAGCCACCGAGGTTTGGGAGGAAGCCAGATCAGAATTTCACGTGAGAGAAGGGGAAAGGAGACGAGAGTTCAGCGATGGTTCGATCAGCACGAGGAGCAGGACGAGGCGAGCATGTAGGACGCGAGAGCACGACGTGCGACCGCCATCATGCAACAGTGTTGCGCATTTTGGCGGGAAGCCTCTTGCTGAAGGCCACAGATTCACAATCGTTGTCCCTCATCCCCCCTCAGCCAGCCCCCAAGCCTATCCTGAGCCCTCATCCCCCAACGTACGGATTTGACTTCCTCGACTCTGTCCTGCGATACTCATTTATACCGAATATTTGCGCTGGCCCTCAATGGACGTGACAGGCGAGACGGGATCACGAGGGAAGCGCGCATTTAACAATATTTTAATTATGAGATCCGAATCATTGTACTTCAAACATATCCTTGTGACTCAAGGATATCAACATGATCTTTTTCAAAAGGTATCCACTTCGCAAAAAAAATATTTAACCGGTGTTACACCGGTCGCTACGCCGTCTTCACTGGCTGAGCAAGGGCCAAGACATTCCTATCTATTTCACTAATGCGAAATGCGAGGGAACAATCCAAAGCCTTCCAGATCAAATTTCTATTGAGGTCGAGATGCCTCGAGAGAGACCTTTACTACATAGTCACGAGGAAATGTGCTCACGGACTCATCTTCTTTGAAATCTAGCTAATGAGTACCCCTCCTTTTCTCATCACAAGTACGGGTCATTTACTAGTGGCCTCTAGGTCCCTAGGAAACCTGACCAGGCAATAGAGTCATATGTGGAGGTCTAGGACCAGAAACAATTTTTCACGATCTGGGAGTTGCAAAGGGAAACATAGACCAATTTCAAAACATCTATTGAAACTTGTTGATAAATGTTCATTATTTCCATATCAATATCAAATGTTCATTGAAACAGTCACTCCAGACACCCCCCCTGTAAAAAACTATGATTGCACTCTTTAGTCGCGTTTGCTCCCTCGAAGTCAGCGGCAGATCAGGGGCACGAGGACTGAAGCAGGTTTAACCGAGGACAGGAGACGATAAACACACTTTGCCCTGGTACAGACTACATCCTCCAGGTCAGAAGGGAGTGTACAAGAGCACTTATTCAGAACAACTGCGACAAGAGGAGCTGTAATGACGAGCAGATCGTTGTTTCATTCGCGGTTCAATGATGATGGGTCCATAACAAGGTCTGCACCTGTTCACGTTCAACCCAAGACTTCAAACTTCTCTTCCCTTTCCACAATGATGAGCATCATGATGGAAGACAGCATCTGGCTTGATCGGCACCAGAATGAGGTCCTGCAGAAGCGCAAGGCAGCTTCCTGCGGGACCAAGATCGAAGTGTTGGATGAAGAGGACAGCGCGCGTCCTTCAGCATCGTCTGCTGCAGAGCTTGAGAGTCAGTTCAACATGGACTTTGTTCCTCCTGCCGAGAACCATTTTGTCATCGACGAGTTCGTGAGGGGGGAGAGGAGCACAGCGACGGAGAAGACCATGGGGCTTATCATGCGGTTTACGCACACGACGGGATGCCCTCCACTTGCTGGGAAGAGACGAATTGAGGATGAGCAGAACTCATCTGCAGTGAAGAAAAGAGCTACACGTGACGAGCAGTCGAGACGTTCCTCGTCGTTTGAGGACCTGGGACTCGACCATTGCATGCTTGATGGAGTGGAGGAGGATCTTGCTGGAGAAGCAAGTCTTTCTGCCACGTTGAAGGGGATGCGTTCTAGTGAGTGCTCACATTGTGTTGACGTTACGATCCTCAAGAAAGTAGATTAGGGAGTGCAGTCGCAAGGTTGCAATCCTGATGTTTCCAATTATGTCGAATAGATCACAATAAAACAATGAAAGTCGAATGCTTCATGAGATTCATTGTTACTGTTAAAGTGCTAGGATTAACCTGATGCGACATATCGCGGTCACCAGGGCCTGGTAGCTCTCACACACGGGTGCGACATGTTGGTTCCACTCGCATCCTGGACATCAACGTCATCGTGATGAAGACGACAAGGAATCAAGTACATCTTGTTTCTTTGCCTTGACTTTGTCATACATGATCTGGAACAGCATGTCAGATCGCAAAGAGCTGCAGAAGTGATCTGCAGCTACGAACATCATGCATCAGGATATTGCTGGTTTTCCCTTTTGCCGACTCAGCGTAGAAAGTCTCTCCAGTGAAAGGATCAGCCGTGATGCGATGTCTCCCATGACCTTAATTGCATGCACAGTCAGCATGAAAAGAAGCAGGGGAAGGAAGATAAGAAGATACAGAGAAATTACGAACAGCGACAACCAACAAAGAGGAAGTCAGGAAGAGCAGGGTAGGAAGATAAGAAGATGCAAGAGCTAAAGAGACATTACGAACAGGGACAACCAACAAAGAGGAAGTCATTTCAAGGGAAGAAAAGCACAGGATACAGAACAAAGATGACAACCGCTGGTGCTTCTTCCAGCGGGAGGAAGGTTTTCCACAGGCGTTTTCGACACATCCGACCAGGTATTGGTACCCCTCGACGCTCTCCCATAGTTCTACGTAACTAGTCATCACCATTGTCGATCAATCGGACGGGGCCAAGACCGAGTGATGCTCGTCTATCTTGCGGTATGACTCCTTCAATGCTTCGACCTTGTACAGATATCAATCGGTGACAACCAAAGAGCAGTGCTTCCACCGCAAGTCGCTCGTTACGAACAGCTTCTGCATATCTTGGGACATTGTGTCAGCACTTGGATGTTGTCAGCGGCATTTCAACCTGGGGTCGATTCTTGCGCCGCTAAGGTCGTCGGACCGTTTGCGTTGCTGAGTCAAGCATCAGTTGACGCACAACGGAACCAAAAGATCACCTCTGAGGCCGCTGGAATAGAAAGTGTTTTCATCCTTTCAGAGACCTTTAGCCACTGTCATAACAAGTTTCACAATTTGACAGAGATATCACGTATGCTTCCATCTCGCGATTGAGCGCAAGAATATCTTTCTCCTGACCTCTCCGTCCTCTGTTTGCTTCGTTCCCAGAGTCCTCGCCATGCTGCGAAGTCTCTTCGCCTTGACCAGCAAGATTCGATCGTCGTCCGTACTTGATGACGCGCTCACTCTCAGCGTTCTCAAGTGCTGGCGTGTAATTTTGACTTGCAGGCCATTCAGTCTCAGCCTGACATGGCTGGACACTATCAATGGGCCCAGCAAAGTTGCGTGCATAATCGTATCCCCTAGGATCTTGGTTCTCATAGTCATGGAATTGGTCGGAATAGGCATTTGCTTCCGCTCGAGCTTTCCTATAACCTCATCAGTCCTTCTGCAGGTTGAGCCCCGGACACGACAGACCTTAACTTCTCCATTAATTCTTCATCCGTGAGGTTCTCGAAACCTGACAAGAACACAACCGTCGCAATCCTCGAACATGGAATTTGCCATATGATGCAAACCTGTTGACGATGAATGATAGCCTTGCGGATCCTCTTGGAGGAACTGCAGGAGAACAGTCAAAGAGTCCACTAAATTCAGTCTGAAATCCCAAGAACCACCTCTTGATAATTAGTTGGAACTTCGGTTGAGGGTTGCTCCAGATAATTTTCTTTGTTTAGATCACTCCCTGTCGATAACGCACGACGTGTCAGTTGGGGCGAGCACAAAGGTCTAGAAAGTTAACCTGGTTTCTTCAAATGGCCAGAGTCTTGAGGAATGGAACCACCATTCTAGGAGGCAAAAAATTCAATACTGCAGAATCCAACGAATTGAGACTGCCCCTTACAAAGTAGGTAGAGCTTGCAGCTTGTGGGAGTGTTGGGAGATTTTTCGTATTTTGCTTGAATTTCATGATCACCTGACGTATCTGAAGCACATCGATCACGAATAGAAGGCAAAGACCATCACCAACATCATCATCCTTGGCCAACTGCACAGCAGTTTTTTCATCCTTAGTGATCATATTCGTGCTTGCACCATTCTCCAGCAAGAGAGAAACCAAATCCTGCAGAAACAAGATTATGTCACAGGATGCCTTTTTCCTCGCCTTTCACCAGGTATCCATGTTTTGCAGCTAAGTGCAAGCACGTGTAGCCCTGTTCGCCCTTGGGAAATCCCGAATCATTCGCGCACGTCTTTCAAAACCAAATCTACTCACTTGCATGTCAACATCAGCTCCAGCTTCCAAGCAGTATTTGACAATATCAATCCTTCAATTGATCACAATAGCAACGATCAATCTTCGAAGGGAATCTACCTGTTGTAGAATGCAGCATGATGGAATGGGGTGTTTCCACGGCATGTTGCCCAGTTTTTCTGCCTCCTGTCGTGGAAAAATCTTGAGTTGACAACTCGCAGTAAACGCTGTGCACGAACCTCTGCAAGAAGTTAGCTCCACCTTCTTCGACTAGAACTCGGAACACAGGGAGATAGCCAATGTACGCGGCATGATGAAGAATGCTCCTACATGACTTTCAACGGCTGACGAAGAGCAGCGCATTTTCAACCTCCCACCATTCCCCGCTGCTTCCTTTCGGACCCATCCATCAGGAGCAATGCAGTCAACTTTCGCTCCCTTAATTCAGATCAGAATTTGATTTCCCTCACGTCTTTGAATTAAGAAAAAATAAAAACAAAACACTCTCTCGGTAGTGACATTGAAACATACTGGAAAAATGCAGACAAGACAGGAATCTGATAGCACAGAAACAAAACAGGAATCAACTCACATCCCCTCTTCCCCCCCTTCACGCATGCTCCCTCCCTTTCAGTCAGCTGATGTATCCATAACTTGTTCTCACCTTCTTCAAACATTCTCTGACTTGCAGCACATCCCTCCTTGTCACCGCCTCCCACAGCTCATCCTCCCGCCATCTGGCTGTCGCCATCTCCCGCCTTTTGTGAATCGGGACCGGGGCCCGCGACAGTCTCGGCCGGCCCGGGCCCGGGTGGCCAACCAAAAAGCACTAACGTAACTGAGTAAACTTTGAACTCTAAACTCCTAAACTTTGAGCACAGGAGTAAAAGGCACAAAGTTCCGCACGTCGGCCCGGCCGGGCCGCGCGGCTGGAGTCCGATCTGCGTTGGGAACGCAACGGATGGCCTCGTATCTTTTTACTCAAAGATAAGTTAAAAAAAAGTGGGGCTTACAGGGCGATAAAGGCTATTCGATCTGAAGAGCCAGCCTACGGCATCCAACAGTTGAGATGACCGTCAGCACAGTGATAAAAGATCTTTTGTCCTCAGGTCCCGAAAAGAAAGATGTAATATCTGAGTGAACGTTTCAAAATGTAGAGAGTGTTTTCAAAATCTTGCTGCCTTTGACCTCCTATCTCAGCGGTTTGACATACTAGAAAAATACACTGAAAGCACTGTAAACCTGAGGAAAAATGTCAGCAAATGTCATCGGTGCAGGTATGAACATTGAAAATATCTCTTTTCGAGAACAACGGATGGATGCGCCCCTTCCTAGTGATTCTAAGAATAGATTGCTTGCTTCCTGCCGTCGCGCTACGCTCTTTTGGCAGACACAACATTGTATCTCTTGTATCTATCGTGCCTATCATCACCTTATCTTTCTCATCCGTGAAGATCCTGACCATTTCTCCCATCCTTCCTGCTGTTCTTTCCTCTTTCTGTCTCACCGTCGCCCATTTTCTTGTTGGAAAAACGTTTCTCACACATTGAAATTGAAAACACAATCCCAAACATAAGGCAACTTACTACTGCAATGGCACACAAACTGAGCCTCGACCAAGATGGAAACAGAAGCAGGGATATTCTATTGGCGGACATTGAAACTTGGAAATGCAGAGACAGTTCAGAAAGACGAGTTCCAGACATTGGCCTTTGCGAGCAGAATATCAAAAGTGTTTCAGATTCTAATGAGAAAAAAGCCAAGAACTACGAAACCATTTGGAAGAAACATATAGAAATCCGAAAGTCTGAATTGGAGTCGAACGAAGAGCTACAGAAATGGTTGAATCTTTGGTAGTCCTTGTTCATTTGCTGTGAAATAAAGAATGTATATCTGAAGTTTTTATGTATAAGTGCAAATGCAATGGAACAAAATCAGATGACCATTAACCAATCAAGGAGATTGAGATTGATCAAGAAATCTTATTTTGGACTGGGATTTTCATCGAAGGTCACGACATGACACTCGTCAAGAAGGAATATATTAACAAGAAAATTTGCGATAAAATTATCAATACACAACAAACTACTAATCAAGACTAAAATGTGTCGTCTTTCAAACTAAACTGAATCATCTACCATATGTTGAGCCACTTCTGCAGCTCATCAGAGTTTTCAAGATCCTTTTTAACATCATCAAAGTGGTTCTTGAGAACTTGTTCGTACCTCGTGGTGCCAACCGGATATTCATAAGTACAGAAAGAGACACTTGATCTGTTTTTGACCATCTCGATCAATTCTTTAGAGTCATGGGAATTGCTCGTCTTATTTGAAAACATGGAATTATTGGTTTGAGAAGACGTGTGTGTCTTTTTTGTTTCGTCCATGCTTACATTGGTTCCAAAATGATTCCGCAATTTGTCCGCTTCTGCTTGCTTCATTGTGTGACAAGAAGGCAAGATTGATCTTTTGAATGTTTCCTGAACGGTATGTTTCGAAAAAGAAATGATTTCAATGCCTTGTTGTAAAACTCATCAACGATGATGAGATTGAGATGATGGATCGTCGAATAGTAAGATTGACACGAAAGGCTAGGATAAAGGCTGTGATGAAGGTTGGCGGGAAGGAAAGGGAAGAAGGGAGGGAGGGTGGAAAGGCAGGAAGACAGGCAGGCAGGCAGGCAGGAAGACAGGCAGGCAGGCAGGCCAGGCAGGCAGGAAAGCAGCAGAAGCCAAAGGGATCTGAAACTCCTCCATTTCGATTCTTTAGCACCTTGAGGATGTAAAACGATGTCGGTTGAGTAAAACCAAACTTGGTAGTAGCCTATCTCCCAATTCAAGTTTCTACCCCGGCGTTACCCGCACCGTGACATAACCTTTTACTCAAAGTTAAGTTAAAAATCGTGATAGTCCGTCAAGGTTACCCGGTCACTGCCAGGCTGAGAGCCTCACCCACCGGGGCCCGGGCGGGCCCAGGGGGCCGCGCCGCGGGCCCGGGCCCACCCAAATTTCAAATTTTTGTCAGGCTCTCTCAGTGAGGCCCCGCCGGGGGGCCGGCCGCCGGGCCGGGCCTGCCGCGGCCCGGCGTACCGTCCGGTCGTCACGGTACGGAGTACGGTTTCACAGTCACGGTAGTACGGTCCGCCGGTCCGACGGTACGGTCACGCCCGGCGGCCGCCGGGCCGGGACTGAGTGCACTTGAAGTGACACTGCCGGGCCGGTGACGCCGTGGCACAGCACGGCCGGGCCGGGCCGCCCGGCCGGCCCTCAGGGCCTCGGCGCGGCCGAGCCGCCGCCGCCACTGGCAGTGAGCCGCTGAGCCGCAGTGAGCGGCGGCCCTCAGCTCAGGCGGGGCCCGGCACTGACTCACTGAGTCGGACGGTCACGGCGGCGGCGGCCCGGACTGGGGCGGCGGCGGCCCGGACCGTACTGGCCCGCGGCGCCCCGGCCCGGCCGCGCGAAACAGGCTTTGAAACTACGGCCGCGGCAGTGAACTCGGAAGTTTTCAGGCACCGTGACGGTGCCAGTAACTAGGCTCAGGGACCGAGTGTCCTGGCAGTGGCCCGGGCTGAGGCTGCAACCGTGAACGCGCGGCCGCGACGGTACCGTACGGCGGTACGCCGGTAATCTAGACAGCCCGCCTATCTGAACCGAATCAGCGACTGCCCTCCGCCAAAACTTTACTGATTTCAAACACCACGGCCCATCATGAGCAGCAAGCCTTGAAGCCTGAGACCAACCGTGCGTCCAAAGTTGAGTCAACTTGGCTGAACCGTCCGAGTGACTGCGGCTTCCGGGGCCTTCCGAAGTTCGCACACTGGCACCACCACCTTGGCGCGGCTTCCGCCCATTCTGGGGTCAAACCGCGTTGGTCTTTATTAACGCAAAAGAGGAATGCGTATGCTGTTCTCATAGGATACCGGTGGTGGTGTACCCCATCGTTTTTGAGGGGTGGTGCTCGGTAATATCAGTGGTAGGGGTGCTTCAAATTTTGAACTGGCGTGTCCATTTGTTTTAACGGTAATGAATTGTTTATTCGAATCCGTGGTACAAGCAGTTGTACTGAGTAACGGTTTATAACTGCTGTTTTGTACCATCTAAAACAATTTTGATGACCCACCCTATCGATGAGGGTGGGGAAACACTCCCCATCATTCCCATCGTCAAATCGCACACCGTCATGCTGAGCCGCCGGGCGAGCACAGCAGCCAGGTCAGCGAGCTGCCACCATGAGCACAGGTGAAGGACTGCCGAGTAAGAAGATGATCGCAAGGTACACTTGGCATCAAGAATCCAGCATAAATTCTTACTTGGTGATCTTGCAGGAGTGGATCAATCTGCATGAGTTCGTCATCCTACATGTCCGACGACTAAGTCAATCGTATCATCAATGTTCTCTTCAAGACTTCTGGGCTCTCAGAGTAATGTACTTTATCTGAAAAGTGAACTGAATAATAATATCTGTAAGACAATGACGAGTTCACTTAATTAAGGCGCAATCACATCTCACTTGACTCCCTCCTCGGCATGTCTTCTGTACGCTTCGTTACATCGTTGCTTCACACGTTCAGAAAAAGTTTGATGATATTTGAATTTTTGCCTAAACCCTAATTACTTGACTCTCACGAAGCTCTTGTTGAAGTATCTCCCCTCCCCTCTCCAAACTCTCCTCACTCAAGTCCTTTGCATGTTCGCACATTTGGTGAAATGCATGAACTTTGCTTTGCTTCCCTAATGGCGGAGCTGTTGACGTCCAATTAAGCCTCAGATCATATCAGAGATCAAGTCTCGAGCTTGTCAGCTTGCATGCAAGAATCCATTGTGCGTTGCAATCAGACTGACATGAATGTAGAATCAAGGTTGGAGGTGATATCTGATTTGACATTTATTATTCATTCGAAGCATTTATCTCAGGATGTCGAACTACCAGCAAATTGACACGGACTCCCAGTCAATGATAATGACAACCACAATAGCATATGGTGCGCGCACAACAGAATCGAAGCACATGCTGTAGGTGCACTGCCATCCAACACCGTGCCGTTGGGTTTGCTGTCTTCAAGATTTTTCAATATTGTTTGTCACAAAGTGGCAAGGCTTTGAGCATGTGGACATGGATATATACAAGACTATGCATCTTCACAAAGTGGTTTTTAAGTCATGCAACAAGAGATGCATCATTCAAAGGCGGAGAAGTACAAACATGATGTGAACAAGTAATGTGGCACAGTGAAGCATCTCTCATAAATATGATATTCCATCCAGTACATGAAGATGAAGGTCTTCGTGGAATAAAGGTCTTGGAATCTTGTAATCATGTGCGTTTCAGCTGCAACCATTCAGAACCTAGTTATCAACATCGCCATGCTTTTGCTACTTGTTCACAACGATTAAAAAATGAACAATCCACAGCAGAACTCTCTAACTGTGTGATGTAATGAGTTCATTTGCACCTTTTCCTCTCACAAAATACTTTCGAGTCTCTTCATGCTCGTGTGTGTTCGTGGTATACTCGTCCCCATCAATGGATGCGTTCAACAAACCAAACTTTGAAAACAGATTATGGCATTGTAACATTTTCACCAACCGGCACAGCGGGTTTGACGAAGAGAAATATTGATGAGGCTCACCTGCTGCAAGTGACTGCAACTTGGGCAAACATGCTCGCACAAAACTCAAACACTGAAGACAAGGATCGGCAGAGAAGAGCTTCGCGACATGAGAGCAGAATGGTGAGGGGAGACGCGCTGGGGTAGTGGGTGGAGGCGTGTAGAATTAAAACATTTTAGAAGGTACCAAGAAACGATAAGCTAAACTTCCAAAATCACTTTTAATCACGGTTTTGAATATGGTTTGAATTTCAACAGTACAAAATTTCAACCTGCGCAAATCACACGCCGTGTACCCCCATTTTCCCATGCACCACCCCCTTGAAGATATAGGGCAAAAACCAACGCGGTTTGACCCCAGAATGGCCGTACGGTCCCACACCCACGGTGGCTGCGCAACGAGCCTTCCGAGTAGACACCTCTACTCAAAGTTAAGTTAAAGATCAGTACGAGGACAATCAGGAGAGTCGAGGAGGCTTGACCCTGACACTGTCGCACTCAGATTATGCCTGGCAGATCCTGAGTATCATACAGTACGCCGGGTACCCGGATACGGCAGTGTCAGCTGAGTCCACGCCGAAGGCTGACACACTGTTTGTGACTCTGAGCCACCGTGTGAACGTTGAACGAGTGAATCAAGCTGAGATATTCTTTCTAATATGCAAAAGTTACGTTTGTTGCCAACATACACGGAGAATCACGTTTTTCGTCAATCCGCTTTACAAGACGAACACGCCGGGCCAGCATCTGGAAACACAATCAAGAGGTCAAATGTAATTTACGATCCCTGATGCTTCCAAATGTCTGTCGCCTTACTGGAGACATGGATGCCGTCGAAAGACGCAGCTTGTACGGAGGAACAGCAAATCAGAAAAAACGTTTGTTCTTTATTTTACACGAAAGAATAATCTATATCTACATGTTGATGTATCTTTTCCATCACTATTCGACCTATTGATCACGACGCCGAGTGACAACATTTGCATAAAATCGACTTCCACTTCCACTCTTGATCGACTTTGAATTCTTGAATGAGCTAGATGGTGAAATGTTTGATATGTGTGGCGCTCTCTTTTCGACTGAACACTTGTGGGTAGACTCGTTGCTAGATGTTCGTGATTGAACCTCAGTGGAACATCTACTATCAACACTGTTGCTCCGAAGCTGACCATAAACGTTAAAGCCATTATCAATCTTCGGAATTTCAGGAAGGTCATTATCCTTCTTTAGTTTTGGCGAAGTGCTTTCCTCCTTCTCGCTTCCTTTGTGCTTGGAGAGCTGTCGCACACTGAAAGCTACGATCAACATACTGAAGAGCATCATGTACACGGTCGCCATTCGAATAATTGAGTTCCTCTCTGCATTCAATGTCTGAATCTCAAGGAGGAGCCTTTCTCTAATCGCTTCCTGTGGTGTGGCCATGTCTTCGCGCGCTTGCTTCTGCGCGTTTGCCTGGCGGAGCGGGATATATAGGGTTCAAGGAAGGGGTGTGCTAAAAGATTTATATCATAAAACTATATAGTCTTTTATTTACTTTTTGAATGGCCCATGAGACCCCCGCACGTTACCGTAAAACTTCTTGACCGGTGCAATGATGCAAGAGGGGGGAGTGGGGTAGGGGTTAGTTGTGTAAGGGTCTGCAATTTGGGTTTATCTCAATCAAAGGGGTTCGGAAATCCACTACCTCATTTTCTCTCCCATTTAAAGGGTACTTGAAGGGGAATAAATGGGGTACTTTATGAAAGGTAGGGGTCTGAATGTAGTTGAAGGGGTCCCTACCTCGGATGCGGAGGTACACATTTCCTGGAGCTAAGTCATAGTCAAGTCCGGATATGAGAAGATCCGTGGCGGGAGGGGTACAGGCTGGGAGTATGTACCCCGAGAGGTAGGGTGGTGTATTTGCCTGTTTTGCTGGTAGGGGATTGCCTTTCATTCATTCGAAAGAGATTCAATGAATATGAGCATTGATAAGCAGTAGCCCTTCCTAGAATCGAAATCCTTCCACCCTACCCCCTGAATAGGCCTGATTAAATACCTCCAGTGTCAAATAACCCTACCCGGAATATATCCATGAAAATGTCTAAATACCACCGGTACTCATAAGCTACCTCGATTCCTCCACTTGGTGTTAAACCCCTTGGCCTTTTGGACATGAGGTCCAAGATAGAAAACTCGCAACGGTTCGATAAAGTATCCGAAGTCAAGATGGAGGGGTCCCTGAAACAAGGGAATTGGACGGGTAGAAGGGACCGTGTTCAAATATCTAATAGATCGCATCTTTCGGCAATAAAACTAATATTAGCTGGTTTTTGGTCGGAGGTGGGGGGTGAAGCACTATGTGGAAAAATATTAGACTTTCAATTGGGAAATCTGCTCTCCTGACCCCACCACTGCTTCACCACCTTGACCGAATATCGGAACCTTTCGCACCTTAGCGAAGGCCTGCCTCACGTGATACCGGCAAGGCAGGCAAACGTCCCGCTGCTGCACCCGGAGGCCAACAGGCAGATGCCTCGTACTGATTTTTACTTAACTTTGAGTAAAGAGAATGCCGACTGGCAACTGTAAACCCGGCCGGCCCGGAGGGCCAAATCTTGACTTCTCCGGTGAACACTGAGAAACCGTTACTGTGTGCTCCGATACCGTTACGTGTCGAGTGACCTTTGGCGACAGCAATGCAGGTTGGTGAAAGGAGGGAGCGGAGCTGAAAGTGTGTGGTTGGGGGGTGATGGTGTGAACAAGGAGACGATTCAGAAAGGGTAGGGACGTTGAAGTTGGTCACAACGAATTGTTAGAATGAAAGAGTGAATGTTAACCTCAGGTTTGATCGAGTGGCATCCAAGACTGTCCGACATGCCGCCAGCCCAGGAGAAGCAGGTTAAACTTCTGGTCAGCTTTCTCTTTGCTTCGGTGTTTCTCGCAATAGGATCTATTCTTGTTATTACTGGGAAATCCGATTCTTCCTCGTTACTTGAGCTCGATGGCATCCCCCTCGACAAGAATGCCCTCAGCCAACTGCAAGGCGAAACCTTGGGAGCTTCTGGAAACTCTTTGAGCTTGGTGGAGTCTCATTTGTCTGCAAAGCGGATCAACAAGCTGCTTCAAGCGCATGAAAGTGGACAGATTGATGGGATTCCCCTTGACTCGCATGCTATGGCAAAGCTCAATGGGGGAACAAGCTCAAGGCTGACCGAAACTGAATTTCACAGACCTAAGAGGCATAGTAAGGTTGTCAGCCGTGCGCAAAAATACCTGAACCATGGAAAAGCAGCCCTTGACCAAGGAAGATGGAAGTCTGCAGTGAAGGACTTTTCGCGCGCAAAGCGGATTTGGCGCTCTGAAGGCAACGACAAGTATCATTGGGCACAGACTTTGCAATCAGATGTGTTGAGAGCGCATCCCAGATCGAACGCCGGCTCGAAGCACTCTTCTCCCAGCAAGAGCCCTGCAATGAACAAGGCTGTCCGGGAAATCTCTTCAGGGCACGCTTTTCGAAGTCTCTACGGGCTCATGAGGGAAAGACGTTCGTCGTCTAAGAGCTCTGAAGGGGTTTCATCTGCACTCAAGGCGGCTGCCCGTGGTGTTGAACAGGCAAAGAGAGGCTACAGTGCTTCCCTTAGCACTGTCAACTCAGCCAAAACTCAGCAACTTGCACAGGTGTCCCAGAAATCTGAAGACTTCAAGATGAAGAGATTGATGAAAGAAGCTGAGCAGAGGCTAGCAAAGAAAGAGAAGCAGATTATCCAGGAGGAGTTCAAGAAGATGTACAAGCCACAAGCTACAATGAGGCAAACATCGAACACGATTACGCTGGAGTCTCCTCCTACAGCATTGGCAGCCAATCAATATCCAGGCAACCAGTACGCAGGGAGTGGGTATGCTATCGGTGGTGATAGTGTTCAGACAGCGGTGGGATCTTCTGTACAACCGCAAGCTACATCGCTATATCAGCCCTCTTTTGTGCAGCAAAACTATCCCGTGCAACAACTGTATGATGGAACTAGCGAGCAAGAGCTTCCTCAGGCAGCGAGCGAGGTCGTTGAGGGGGGACCTGAAGAGGTCGTGGAGTCATCATACCCTCAACAGCAGCTTGCACAAGGTCCGTTCACCCCGACGAGTCTGGCAGAGAAATCCAGTGGAAACTCACCAGGTGACTCGTAATTGTTCCAATCATGTTGGTAACACTCTTGCCAGTACCTGTAATCAACATCAACCTTCCACAAGGGGAACGAGTCCCGCCAGGGCGATACATGATGGATGGGTCAATGGTCCAGGTGCGGCAACGATCTACCTCCTTCGTTGGCATTCATTCCTCCGTTGCTCACTCCTTCTCCAGGATCTTTCTGGGCATTGGGATTTTGTGGGAAACCTGAAACCGGTGTCTCCATCTGAAAGTGCTGTCTAAGAGACCAGGTCATTGTCCGCGCTACCAAACGAAGTTCGCGTTCTCATCATTGACCTGGCAGTGATCCTCTTCTACCGTCACTAAGTCTTTCTCTTCTCCCATTCTAGTCAAGTTTTCCCATCGAACGTGGCAGTGTCCGATCGCACATGATACCGTTCACGTTTATAGTTCCCGGCATCAGTAAACCTCAGGCTCCCTCTTGTCTCAAACTAGGATCTGAACTTACCGTACGGCCCGGCCCGGCCGGGCGGCTGAGTCGTGACTGCCGGGCCGGGGGCCGGGCCCGGCACCATGATTGCCCACAGGCTGCCGCGCAGCAGTGGCCCCCGGGCCCGGCACTGGCAGGCGGCGGTAGGCCGCCGTGCTGCCGGCCAGTAACGAGTCACGGTGACGGCAAGTGCCACCGTGACCGATGGGGTCGGCCCGGGCCGGCTCAGCGGAACTTGAGGCGGGAACTTAGGCCCGGCCGGCGGAGCTTCCGCCTCAGTTCACAGTGCGGCCGCTGATCCGAGCCTAAAAGAGAAGCTTCTAGAAAAAGTATTGTTGTACCCCCACCCACCGAAAACCAAAATTCGATTGGGTACCCTATCTATTCTCTAGAAACTACCCCATCTGAAGATGATATTTTCACCCCACCCACCCTGCCACTTTGCGATATCATGGCGATTAGGGCTGACCCGTTGCAATGGCGGGGGGGCGAAGCAGAGGAGATGCTTCGATGATAAGAAGAGGGGAGGAGGGAGGAGGACAAGGCACTGTTAGAAGAGAAGAGAACCTGTAGACGCTGTTTGCTTCTGTTAGCTATTCGCTCCCCACTGAGGAACGTTGGCCGGATTTTCAGACGCATTTCCTACTGCAAGGTGTCATTGACCACAAAGCACCTGCCACCTTGGTATCATGGAGAAACTTATCTCGCCGCAGAGAAGAATGATACTGAAAGCTATCTTGGTTCTCACAATCTTTCAGTGCTGCTCGGCATTCCTAAGAACACCCCTCGATGTGATGTCACGCAGATTTCTGAATCAGCGAACATGCGGGCATCAGGGCAAGCTCGTGATGACAGCTGTAAGAACAGAAGAAAGTGTTGTAGAAGCAACGAGGAGAACTGTTGCCTCGACCATCCGTGACGACCTGAAAGATCTAGATCAGCGACTGTATGCTGCGCCTTTCGCCTACGGCTCGAAGGTTCCAACACATGCTGATTGCATCAACCTGTTGGATTTGGAGTTAGAGGACGGAGCAGGGCCCCACTCGAGGAGGCTGTGCGATATACTGGTGAGAGATCATTACGCAATCATCAAGCTGCCCAGGAGCAGCTCCTCGTCCCTCGATCAGATGTGGGAGACGGCGGACAAATTCTTTGGGATGGATCAAAAGGAGAAAGCGCTGGCAGGCGGGAAAATGAGCAAGGCAGCGAACAACGTGGGTGTCATTGGATGGGGGCAAATGAGCGATGGAAACGAATTCTTGGAGATGAGGCTAACTGCTAACGGTCAAATCTTTCCGCCCTCACTGGATGATTTCATCCCCGACTTCACCAGCTCGACGAGGAGGGCGAGGGAGCTGTTGATGAGAGCTTCCAAGGCTGTCGTGGTTGCCGCAGAGAGGAAAGTGGGTCTTAGGAGAGGAGGCCTGTCGAACCTGCTGGACGATGGCAGGATGCATGCAGATGGCAGTTTGTCTTCAACTCAGCATCGGTTCTGCTTCTACAAATCCTCTTCTCAGGTGGCGTTTGAAGCACACACGGACACAACTTTCGTTACGGTGATTCCATGCTCCAAGATCCCAGGGCTAGAAGTCTTGTCTCCAGAGGAGGGATGGATTCAGCCCGAGAGCAGTAGCGGTGTGGATCAAACCTGTTCAGTGATCGTAATGCCGGGCGAAATGCTGCAAGTTCTGACCGGAGGACAGTTTCAAGCTGCCATACATCGGGTGACCCGCAGCAGCAGCAGTGAGGGTGGAAGCTCAGCTCAAGACAGAGTCAGCGCACCGCTCCTGGTGCGCGGGAGAATCTTGGTACTACCCTCGTATGCTACCAAGTTCTTTCCTCTCCCCTCCCCTCCCCTCCTCTGCTCTCCTCTCTCCTCCCCTCCTCTGCTCTCCTCTCTCCTCCCCTCCTCTCCTTTCCGGAAGTCGTCTTCCTTTCACCCTCTTCCATCCGACTTCTCTGTTGGTCCTCGTTTCCTTACGCTGTTTCACAGGAGCAGATCGACAACAAATCAATCTTGCTCGAGGCAGATACTCCGGGTACGAGGTGAACTTATTGACTGCATGCTTTCCTTGAGTTGACATGGAGTAGGAGCGAGGAGGTCTACGGAGGAGGAGGAGAATATCTTCGACGAAAATTGAAGAGCCTGACGGGAACGAGCCTCTTCGACTTGCACAGTGTTCTCGTACAACCTCCACAGTTTGCACCATCGAACCGACAGGAGGAGCGGGGGAATGCTTGAGAGGCGGATGGTGTAAAGAGTCATACGAGGGATTTTCAGAAGGGAGTTAATGGTGAAAGGTGCGAGAGATGTAGGTTCCGAGGAAACAGAGACAACGACACGAAGGAAGTTCTGTAACCACTTGGTGTAGATCGGAGCGGGAAAGAAAGCAAGGAGTGAAGTGAAGTGAAGTGAAGTGAATGAAACATGTGAAAAGACATGAGCTTTAAGAGATGAAGGTAATGGTCGGAGTGGGATAATGTTGAATGTGCACGAATGCCGCTTCATCAGGGAAAATGAGATAAGAGCTTTCTACCTTCGCTGATCTTCCCTTTCAGACCATGCGTACCTGCGAATTCACCATCTCCACCTCACCGTTCACCACCTCCTGTACCTCCTCTTCCACCATCACCAACTCTTGCTCCTCCAACACTTGCTTCCCTCTGCTCTGTGAGTCCAACATCCCTTCATTCTACATTCTCATTCATATCGATTCACCTCCTCTCTCATCCTTCTCGACCCGCTCGCACACTCCTTCACCCTCGCCCAGCACGCCTTCAGCTGCCGAGACTCCCTCAAACTCCCGCCGCCTCCAGCTGCTTCAACAAGATTCCCAGCAGCTCCGAACGGTCGCTGCTCCTCCCCAGCAGCGCCTGAGCTAGCAGCCCTGACACCTGCGGCGCCCGAAACTTCACCTGCTCTCTCTTCATCACTGATCCGTCAGGGGCACAGGAGGAGCTTGCCTTGGTTACCCTCTCGCTCTCCATCTTGTAAGTGACCTGCTGCCTGATCAGCACCGCCGCTCCATCGATCCCATCCGGCCCGTGCTGCTCCATGTTGCCTCCCCCTTCAACTCAGACTCCTCCTGATCTTCCAGCTCCATGCTCTCTCTATTCCAATCCATCTCCACCCCATACTTCTCCTCCTCCTCTCCTCCTCTCCTCCTCTCCTCCTCCTCCTCTTGCCTCTATCCGAGGAGCCGGCCCCTTCCACTTTGACTCTTCTGCTGCTTGCCATCGAGCTGTGCGGGTGGTCTCGCCGTTTTCTAGCAAGGAGAATCATCAATTGAAGCGAAGTAGAAGAACAGGAAAGAAAAGCGAAGAGAAGAGGAAGGGAAGAAGAGGACAGAAGAGAAGGACAAGGCAGAAAAGAGAAGACAAAGACAAAGACAAAGAGACAAAGAGAGGAGAAAAAAACAGAAAAAGTAAACGAGTGAAGACAGAGGAGAGAAGACGATTAGAAAGAGAGAAACGAGATACGCGAGGAGAAGAAGTGAAGGGGATGGTGAAAAAATCATTCAGACCAGGAGGTGAGAAAGTGAGCAGATACGAAGAAGCAGGCTCAGCAAGGAGAGAACGGAAGGAGGAAGGAACAGGAAGGAGAGAACGGGTGAAGGAAGATGAGGAGGGGGGACTTACGGTCATCAGAGAGTCGAGTAGTTATCCGGAGCTCCTTCGCACTGCTGGCATGGAGGAGCCGCTCAAACTTGACAACATCGATGCTGCGGGAGAGGACATGAGTCTGTTCAATGTCCCGCTCCTCCCGGAGGAAACGAGGGATGACCCTGCGGAGGAGGAGCTGCATGAAAACGTCAGTGGAGGAGATGGAGAGGAGAGGAGGAGGAGGAGGAGGAGGAGGAGGAGGAGGAGGAGGAGGAGGAGGAGGGGCAAGGAGGTAGAGGAAGTGAAGGACATGAAGAAGGTGGTGGCGGTGAAGGGAGTCGAAAGTGGAGGAGGAGGAGGAGGAGACAACGAAGGAAGGGAGGGAGAGGAGGAGGGAGAGGGAGAGGATGGAGAGAAGTGACAAGCGGGAGCTTGGGGGTCACCAGGAATGCGAAGATGGCTCCGATGTGCATGGCGAGGAGAAGGCCGGGAACAATAGAGAAACCTTGAAGGATGACGCGAAAAGTTCCCGGCTGAGGATGGAAAGACAGACAGACAGACAGACAGACAGACAGACAGACAGACAGACAGACAGACAGACAGACAGACAGACAGACAGACAGACAGACAGACAGACAGACAGACAGACAGACAGACAGACAGACAGACAGACAGACAGACAGACAGACAGACAGACAGACAGACAGACAGACAGACAGACAGACAGACAGACAGACAGACAGACAGACAGACAGACAGACAGAGGGAGGGAGAAACCCGTTAGAAGACAGCAGTAGAAGGGATAAGAGCAAATGGCACAAGAACGCACTAGCATTGGAGGAATGAAGGGAGGACGGAGAAGTGAAGGAGAGAGAAGAGACGAGGAGGAGAGAGTAAAGTGCGTCTATCTCCGCGTATACCGGAGGAGGAGAAAAGGATCCTTCGGAGGACCAGGGGGAGACGAGGTAACGAGGCCTCCCTGTCCTCCAGACTCCCGACAAGAGGTCGAGAAGGGAGAGGACGAGGTTGGCAGCAGAGAGGTTCTGAATGCTGAACGTCTCGTTGTGCCACCTTGTATCCATGGAGAGAGCAGAGAGCTTGAGGGTTGTCATGAGATTTGATGAAAGTTTGATATTTCGAGCAATCTGCAATGCTGCCATGTTATCCAGTTGCTCGATGTTCAACGAGGATGAACTTTGAAAGGAAGAGAGCGAGGGGGAGAAAGACGGACGGAGACAAAGACGAAGTGTAGGAAGTAAGGACAGTAAGAAAGGACAACAGAGGCAAAATGTTGGAGGAAGAGGAGGAGGCAGGAAGGAGGAGGCAGAAGCAAGATGGATGGGATGTAAGGTCCAAGAAAGCAAGAGCTGCTTGAGAACAGGAGTATGTGCTGCATTATGGAAGGAGGGATCCAAAGGGCAAGGAGGGGGGGAGGGGAGGAATCTGTGAGGAAGGAAAGGAGACAAGGAGGAGGAAGGTGTGAGGTGGAGGAGAGCGCAGGATTACCTTGGCGCGAGCAGAAGCTTCGAAAGAGGAAGAAAGTCGTATCAGGGCCTTGCTCTCGCTCCAGAGGTCCTCCAGGCTGGTCTCGAGATCTTGTGCTCCTGCTCGACGATCGTCAGCGAGACGTGGAGGATGCGGTAGAATGTTCACCTTGAAGAGAAGAGGCATACCGAGACAAGAGCCGGAGGGAGGAGAGAATCTGCTGACCTTTCAAGCTCTGGAAAGAAGAAGAAGCGCTTTCAGTCAGAAGTAGAGACAATCAGGAAGAAGAAGAGCGAGGGGAGGAGGTGGAAGGAAAAAGGGGGGGGGGGAAGGGAACTAAGATTTCAAACTTTTGGTCTGAGAAGTTTTCTCCAAAGACGGTTTCTTTGGAACGTTTCGAATGCAG